CACATAACAACCAAACCTCAACTCATCCACCTCATGTGATTTTCCACTAAATGTACCTATGAATCATTTCCTAATATTAATCGTGTATTCTGTGATAAAAAATCATCATTTTTTTTTATAACACCTTCAAAAGTAATACCCTTAATTGATGATCCAAATGCTCCAGCAACAACTGTGAAAAATTGGTTCGATGCTAAAAATGAAGAGTCAAGTCAAGAAAAAGAAACTATATAGTATAGAAAATCTAAGGAGTATGATTTGTCCATCAGAAATCAACAAAATAACGAAATCATGGAACAAACACAGTTCCATGTATATGCCATTTCCGTGAAATATTATTTGATAACTAATCATCGTATGTTAGATCGCGTTCATTACAGAGAGTTAGAACGTGTTCGAAAAGTTGTTTCCCTCAAGATTAAGACATTATTTTTTTTAAATGTTCTTTTTATTTAATTCTAAAAAGAATAATAATAATTTTTATGAAAAAGTGTCTTTTTTTCTAGTATCAATTTATTTTTGTTCTAATAACAGTGTACAGAGAAAGATAAAAAGAGCACATGTCTTTTGTTCAAGGATGTGGGTGTTTATTATGTTTTCTCAGCATTAATAATTTTTCAAATTTCATATAAAGATTCATTGACTGCAATATCACTTTGACATCATTTCAGAATCAGTTTGTTTATTTGCAATGAAACACCAGGAGTTAAATTCTGGGAAAAAGAAAAAGTGATAATTTTATTAAAGATGAAAATATGCCTGTTAGATATATACCTTCTTTTCGACATTTCTATTTGTTATTATTTCTTTTCAACTATGTGAACAACTAACAATTAGAATGAGGACGAAAGAAAAGGAGGATTATGTATGTCGTAGTAGAAATTAAAAGTCAGTAAACTTTAAAATACGACTAGCTGAAATAAAAATTTCATTTTCTACTAGGAGAAGTTAACATACACGCATAGACGGATGATGATATGCAGAAAGAAAAGAAAGATATTGTAATACAATGTGAAATGAAACTATTTTATTTTAAACTTGATGAATATATCGGATCTTTAAACCAAAAGTTTAGAGATTTATCTGGCTTAAAAAATTATATAATTGATAGAACTAACTGAATATCAAATGTTTTACCGTGTAAAGTTATTTGAATACAGTCATCGTCTGATAATATGAATATCTATAGTCTTTGCAGAACACAATATGCTTTATCGTCAAGATATGATGTTAATGATGTTATAAATTCAACAAAACGTACTTTTTCAGAATTATGTTCTATTAATTCTCGAACATTACAAACATAAACATTCATTCAGACTTATAAAGATTATATAAGTCGTAGAATTAATCTACTTGTAGATGCTTGTGCATATAATAGTAGTTGTACTACAAAAATGTTCATGAAAAGCAGCTCAAGTGCCATGTGGTACAAAGTGCCATCTTTCTGAAATGAAATGTTCCTAGGACGACAGATTCGACTGGTAGATCCCGTCGGATTTTGTCGGAAAAACTATCGAATTTTATTGGATTTGATAGGAATGAGTCGGAAGTTGTCGGATGTCGGAATAACCGTGATTGCTGTCGGAATTCCGGCACTTTCCGACATTCGACAGCTTCCTGTCAGAATCCGGTACCAATAATTCTGATAACTTCCGACAGGATCCTATTGGGTAGTTTCGTCCTGTATTGTTCAAATATATAGATGTAAAGTCTTTGATATATTCAACGAATACTTGTGCTGTTATCTATTTTACTAATAAATGAGGCATGTTCTTTCTATATATCATCATCCGTCTAATTGTGTATTTTAATTTTATCTGGTAGAAAATGAAATTATAATTGCAACTAGCCGAGTTTTAAATTCTGCTGCAACATATATGTATGTAATGTTAACACTTAGCAGTCAAATATGCTCATAAAAAAAATGAGAGAGAAGAAGTTTCATTAGAGGAATGTTGTTCTCGGCTATATCGTTAGATAGTGAGACATAACGGGTGATCGGAAAGTTTTGACACAAAATGTTTGTTCATTTTTGACCCACCTGAAAATATTTCCGACGAGTCAAAATCTATGCGTTAGAACCAGAATTATGTGCTCTTTCCGAATATGGACTTAGAACTTTTGTGTCGGTTTTTGTTTGAGAATTGTGAAATAATCTTTGAAAGGTCTAAACAATTACTTTGGGCTGCAAACAAACAGGTTCTGCTGATCTCTATGAATCCCTCTACGAAGATGCTAAAAAATTTTCGGATACGGTAGTTTTGTAGAGGAAACAATTCTTGACAAAATGGGATAGCGAACTAAATTGTAGCTTGTACCCAATGAAAGTTATACATATTTTTCCAGGAGCTCTTTTCCATGTAAAATCCTTTTTGGTCAAAAAGTCGATTTTTCAAACATGACGCTTAGGAAACACGAAAATTCACAAGCCTTATCGAAAGCCAAAAAGAACTCAACTGCTACATTTTGTAGAGTAGATTTTGCTCTACAAGTTGGTATAATAACAGAAGTTCCAACTTCTAGTTTTGGATCACAAAAGTGAAAATCCAAAAATATGTGGAAAAAAATTTTGTCCAAACTAATTGTTTAGACCTTTCAAAGATTATTTCACAACTCTCAAACAAAACCGACACAAAAGTTCTAAGTCCATATTCGGAAAGAGCACACAATTCTAGTTCTAACGCATAGATTTTGACTCGTCGAAAATATTTTTAAGTGGGCCAAAAATGAACCAACATTTTGTGTCAAAATTTTCCGACTACTCGTTAATCAAGAAAACAATTTATGAGAAAGTACGCATGTCGATGAATACAGTTGTTCATACTTTAACCGTAACTTTGTCACAGACGGAACGTAAATAAACCGTATTTTCTCTTAGTCTCCGGCAGAGTAATACGGCAACATATGCGATGCAGTATTTTCAAGGTATATGGCCGTTTGTGTGTGGTAATCTCACCAGGATACCGTCGTATTTTTGTGCGGGGTATTACGCAGAACAGAGTTCATTTCTTTGTCGTAAATTAATTGTAAACGTCCATACACAGAGCGTATCGTTCAATATGGAAGTTTCACATGTTTGGAAACTAACATAAGTTCTATTGAACCATCTGCTTTCTTATCAAGCAACTTGAACATCATCTTCTTGGAATATATAAACGATGTCGATACTAGGCAAAATAGGACTTGAAAGCTTTATAGCAATTTTCTTTTGATAAAACATTAGTTTAAATTATTTTACCTCATTGGGTATATTTTGAACCACTATATTCAAAACTTCTCGACAATATTCTCATTAGCTTATTAACTGTTGAAATCTAGGAAAACGCTTGTTGTTCATTTCATCTAACTACGCAATTGTACATATTGTTGTAAAAGCAGTACAGTTGGAGCAAGTGATCTCGTTATAGAGGCTGCAAAAAGAAAACGATACTTTAACCAAAAGATATTTCTTGTATAATATTTCTGACATGATATAGCGTACTGTTTTTTGAGGATTTATAATCATTAAATAGTTTCAACGCGGATTTTTTGACCATCTAAAAACGATTAACATACAGGGTGTTTTATAAGTCTTTAGGAGCAACAAAATTAGTTTATATGCAGAGAAAAATAGGTTAAAAAAAGTATACTTTTTACATTTATTTCAAAAATTAAGGGTTTATTTCTGATCAAAACATATGCTGCAATGACGAAATAGAGCGGAGTTGACGTAAGCACTGATCTATCAGAGCAACATCTTTCAGCACTGCAAATGAAAGTAATTATAATATGTTTGATTATATTTAGCGTAAACCTGACGAAAGAATATGAAATCACAGATTTTAACATGTAATGTGAAATGAGAATTTCGAGAATTCTCAACTATGTATTCTGTTGTACTGATATATACAGTCGCGCATGAAAAATTAACATTTTCACCAATCATGTCATACTGAACACTTTGAAATGATTTAAATAATATTAAAAATTTACTCATGTTTCATTATAGAGATATTTTTCGACGGCATGACATACTACATTGAAAAGTCAATATTGAAAACAAGAATTTTAGTTAAAAAATCAATAGATACTCCATGTAATCACTATGAACTTATTAAGTATTGTATGAAGATGAAATATTTCGATACATGCTCATTAATATGGTCAGCTATTGCTCGATCAGATTTTCGAAATAATTCAATTTCATAATCGTTTAAATAATTACTAATATAACAATAGGAGATTCGACTATTTATCGAAATGAATGTCAGCTTCAAATACTATAAATAAACGTCTACGAAGATTTCTTTCAATGTCTATTATCTATTCCAGCATATCATACGCATTCATTTTTGTTTTCATTATTGATAAGAATCATTTAAGTCTAACCGTACCACATACTATAATAAAGAAATATTTTTTTTAAAATAGTTTCATGGATCATAATAGAATAATGAAGAATTTTGTTTTCTATGCAGTTGTGATTCATATATTGGAATTATTCTTATTTTGTATCCGCATACTCACATACAGATAAGAATACTTTTTTCTATTCAGCATTGCAAAAGTATTTGATAGAAAAAAAGAAAATCTCAAACAGGAAAAATCATGAATATAGTTTTATAAGAGTCGAACGGGAAATATTCAATGTACAGTCAAAGACTGAAAAATTGAACCGATTCAAATCTGAGTTTGACACGAAATATTTAAAGAAAAGAACAAGGGACAGTCAATAAAGATTCAGAAGCTTTTTTCTTTCGTTAAACTATAATTATCCTAGAGAAATTTAACTTCGGCTTAGTAGGAATTGTATCAAAAGACAGATATTGATGAAGAAAAACATTTTTTCAATAGAGATTTCAGATTCATGTCAACAACAGTCTGTAATTATAACACTTATAATTAAGCCATTTTTCCTTTTTTTTACAAGATATATGGCTGTAAACATTTAAACATATATTTATCATAAAATGACAGGATGTACGTGAAAAGAAATTCTTAATAGAATTTATTCTCAATTAAATGTCATTGGCATGATTAGTAGGTCCGAATTTTAAGCGTTCGAGTATCACATGAAAATAGATTTGAAAACCTATAAAACTATGTTAGTTATGAGTTAAAAAAATTGTGAACAACTAAAAAAGAAAAATAATCTTGGTTAATGTTTATATGTGAGTCATAGTCTTTGTAGATGTACTCTAGCGATGACCAGTTCTCAAGCAGACGAAACCAGTTCACGACAGATTTCCTGAAGTCTACTACCTACAACGGGCCAAACCATTTGACGACCAAATGCATAGGCATTTTGGCGAGCTGTCTTTAGGATTTCATCATTTTGAAATAGTTTAATGATCAATGAACTCAATGAAAGATGATCATTGAATGGAGTCAGGAAACCACGACCATTGTCTAATAATTCCTTAGCATATAAATAGGGTGTTGAAATGACACCCTTGCCTAAACCTACTGCCCAAGAAAGTGTACCACTCACATATTGATCGTCAGTAGCATAAGGTGTTAAAAAAATATCAGTGGCACCAAGATAAGCAAGAAGTTCATTGTCATTCACATATTTATTAATAAAACGAACATTGTTAATCAAACCGTATGCAGTTACATTGTTTTCAAGTTCTTGACGATAAGATTCTCCTTCAGACATTTGAATTTGTGGATGAGTTTGACCAATGATTAAATACATTACATTTGGAATTGTTTTGACAACTGTTTGCATTGCTTTTAAAGTCAGCTGAATGTTCTTGTTTCTATGTAGTAAACCAAATGTAGTCATCGTTGGCATATTTGCTTCAAGACCTAATTTTGTCTTTGCATCAGCTAATGAATGAGCAAATGGACTATCAGGCACACCATGAGGAATAACAGAGATCTTTTCTTCATTCACTCCATAAACATCAATAAGAAGTTGACGACCACGTTCCGATAAAACGATTATACGAGTCGATGTAGCACACATAGCACGTGTCAGACTCATATAAAAAGTATTTGGATTTGAAGGAATGCTAAAAATATAATTCACGAATGAATATGAATAACATCAATTTTATGATGATTTACGTGTGTAGTGTGAGGATCACAGGTTTTCTTATAGAAGCCAAAAGATTTACAACATATTCACCGACCATTCCACCATAAAGATTAAATTCATGTTGCAAATTAAAAACATCATACGCTTCTGAATTTACTATATCAGCTACTCTATAGTAGTCATCTCGATTTTGTTGATTGAGACGAAAAATAACCTTGTCAGAATAATTTCGACTTGATGGATCTACATTCTGTTCATCAATTGCAACAACATTGTAAGGACCCGGATAGTTTTCTGTTAAATCTTCCAAGAATTTAGCCAAGCCACATCGACGAGGTGGATATGAACCAAGAAAGAGCACACGAGGTGCAGTGCTGGTGGTTGATTTTAGTTCACTTACACGTTGGTTAGTTTTTGATTCTGATAAATTGATTGTTACTGAATGAAGAACAGTATAATCAGATGGTATATAATTTAATGTTTGATATGGTTGATGAAATGGATCCGATACATCCGCAAGTTTCTAGAAACAATATATTACTAAGTTGTTTCCAGGAATAAAATATTTTTTGCATGTATATTTATAGAATAAATATAAATGATACAGTGAGGGCCCAAAAAAGCATGCACTTTTTCATTTTTACACATAAACGAATAATAAGGATGTTCTAAAAATTTTCTCTTATATCTAATTTTCTAGAGCTTTTTTCGCTGATCATTTTGGTAAAAAAACTTTTTGATTTTCATTGAGTAATGACAATGTTATAGTCAAAATACTAAACACTGTAACATAAAGTAGGGAAAAAGTTTAGCACACTTTTAGTATTTGGCTAATTTTTACATTATTTCACAACATCTGAACGATGTTTTCTATACCATTCGATGCAGAATTTAATGGCCTACATTTTGGTAACAAGCACTTATACTTATATTGCAGTAAATTAATTAATAAAATTTGATTTGTTTTTAAATTCCAACTCCTTGATATGAAAGAGCATAAAAAACTGAACAAAACTCTATAATTAATATTTGGAAAACAACGAATTTAGTGAGGTTTTAGTGTGATTTTCAGAATATGTTCACTTGTAATTAGATATAGTATTCATTATTTTTAATAAATTCAATCCTGAAACGACACATCAAATATGCGAAAACTGGCGCTTTTTAAAGAGCATCATTTGCTCTTTCAAATGACATCTCACTGCTTCCTCTGCAATATTCTATACAAATTTTATAACGTCTTTCGAAATATACAATGCAAAATCACAAAAAAATGCTGGAAAGTATGGCTTGAATTAGTTTTTACAACTAAAGACGTTATAACATTTGTATAGAATATTGCAGAGGAAGCAGTGAGATGTCATTTGAAAGAGCAAATGATGCTCTTTAAAATGCGCCGGTTTTCGCGTATTTCATGTGTCATTTCATGACTGAAGTTATTAAAAATAATGAATACTG